GAATGATGTTGCATCGATATTTGCATAAACAAAAACCAAAAACCCGATGTGAAAGGAACAGGGTGGCCTTGGGGTGGGGTTTTAGCTTTCGCGCGACGCGCCGTGGACGACCCCCTTGGGTCGAGGCGCGGCGCTTCAGTTGGCAAGCCCTAAAACCTTAAAGCCCTAAACCCTAAAACCCTTAACCCTAAAACCGAAACCCTAAACCCTAAAACCCTAAACCCTAAACTCGCTCGTGGTCTTCGTTGCTTGAGCATGTAAAGGAGCACCTTGAATTGGAAAGGCCTCCGGTCCTAAAGCAAAAGCCCAGTGGAAACTCAGATATACTAATAACAGCAATAACCAATAGTAATATTAATACAGATTAAGATAACAACAGTACTGATAATCATAATGAACAGTCATAGTAATAGTAATAATCATGATAGTTATTGGACAGACATGACAGTCCAGATGCTTCTGACATGAGTAGGCAGCAGAAAAACGCGCAAATCCGGTTTGCATGCAACCATCCGTGGTCGAGCCGCCTATTCCGCGAAGCAGGACTCTCAATTGCTTCTGCAACTTGAAGTGAGAGTTTCGGACCCTAAATAGTAGGATCCTTATTATAAGCACCCCTAAATAGGGTACCCTAGTTTTCTGAAACTCCTAAGTTGACATGCAGTCCTCAACAGCCGAAGCTGGCGGTGGCGTGCCTCGCACGTTGGTGACACCATGGAGCACCTGACAGCAACTAGAAACCAACTTGTCTCATTGAGGGTTTAGGGTTTAGGGATTTAGGGTTTAGGGTTTAGGGTTTAGGGATTTAGGGCTTAGGGTTTAGGGATTTAGGGTTTAGGGTTTAGTTTAGGGTTTATTAAACCAGCTGCAGCTGTGGGCTGAACGGATCGAGCACACAAAGATGTACCTCCATGCTCCGGTGATAAGCCAGGACGAGAACAAAGCTAACACAACGATGATCTTGTGAGTTATATTTTTCAACTATCATTATTGTTGCTAATGTTATTGAGATTATGGCTACTATCTTAAGTATTATGCGGAACTACTATGTCCGAGGTGGGAAACCCCCAAATCGACCGAACCTTAACCAGCCCTGATCCGCTAAATAGGGGCCCTACAGCCAGATTGAGGTCAGCATTTCCACATGAGCTCCCAGGGGAAACTGTCGCAAACACCCCTGAAACCAGACTCCTTAGACCGGAATCCGCAAAACACCCCTCAACACAACATCCCAGAAACCCGAACCCTAAACCTCAAACTCCCGACAACCCGAACACCACTGCAATCTAAACCGAGACACCCTAAACCCCAAGCAATGTTGGGAAGACTTGTGGTTAAATGGAACCTTACAGATTCCCTTGTTTAACCCCCCAAAACACCTTAGAATGCACCCTCAACTCTCTAAATGTGAGGATAAACACCAAACTGCAAATCCCAACACCCCAAAACACCACAAGCAAACCCAAAACCCTAAAACTTAAACCCTAAACCCGAAGCCCCCACACCCCAAACCCCAAACCCCAAACCCTAAACCCTAAACCCTAAACCCTCAACCCTCAACCCTCAACCCGAACCCAAGCAACGCAAAGCCGGCCTCGAAGGGCCAGCGCGAGACGAAGCGCTCCTCGAAGCTTGCCAGCTGCAGGCCTCTTCTGAATTTCATGGCTAAGGGTTTTAGGGCTTTAGGGTTTGGGGTTTAGGGCTTTAGGGCTCTAGGGTTTAGGGCTTTAGGGCTTTAGGGCTTTATGTAGGGTTTAGGGTTTGGGAATTTAGGGTTTAGGGTTTAGGGTTTCGGGCTTTAGGGTTTAGGGTTTGGGGGTTTAGGGTTTAGGGCTTTACGGCTGTAGGGCTTTTAGGGCTTTAGGGCTTTAGGGTTTAGGGCTTTAGGGCTTTATGTAGGGTTTAGGGTTTGGGAATTTAGGGTTTAGGGTT